GTAAATGAGTTAGAGTGTCTCATATCACTTAAGAATATATAGATAGAAAGAAACTTATCTGGCACAGATTCAAGATAAACTAAACTTTATTTCAAAACACTAATTCTCAAAAATGCATAATTATTGAAGCAGAGTAGCTCAAGTAAATGAGTTAGAGTGTCTCATATCGCTTAAGAATATATAGATAGAAAGAAACTTTTATCTGGCACGGATTCAAGACAAACTAAACTTTATTTCAACATTATTACAGATTGTAAAGGAATATGGAGACGTCGGTATTTACGTATATTTAGCGGGATGCAGTGGTGAGTACAGTGGAAATTTTTCCCTTAATTTTTTAATAAAAATAAACAATGTTAACATATAGATACTGATTCCAAACATTCTTTTCTTTAGTATGATTCTGACTGAAATGGAAACTCATGAGGATGCATGGCCTTTTCTACTTCCTGTAAACTTGAAACTTGTTCCTGGTTATAAGAAAGTTATTAAGAAACCTATGGATTTTTCCACAATTAGAGAGAAACTAAGTAGTGGACAGTAAGTAAATCATTTCACTTCAATGAATATTTATTGAATATCTGATATGTGCTGGGCACTTTTCTAGTGAGCCAAAGATATTAATTAACAGCAAGACATAGGCCTTGCCTTTGGGGGGGCAGTGTGTGTGTATGCATTTGGTTAGGGTGGTATAGTATGGAAGACAAGTCAATTAGAATTATGTAAGAAATGAAAAAGCAATGTGGTAAACCTGCCTTTGACATTGAAAGGCTACCAAACCCAGATTGGGAGGTAAGGAAAAGTATCAGGGAAGCTTCCCAAAGCAAGTAGCTTATTTGGGAGGATCCCCTGATACTCATACAATATATATTTAATTCTTCCTGGACATTTTTTTGGTGAAAATCACTATGTACCATGATTTATATTCAGTTCAAAAGAGTTAAGTAGAACCTATCTCATATGATTAGTGTCTCTGTCACATATATGAAGTAATTTACTAGATTGACCAAATGATTAATTTTATTTCTTTGGAGGCTGGAATACAGTCTTTCAAAGGTTTATGTCCGTTTTGTTTTATTTTTTAAAAAAAAAATTACAGAGGGGACCTGCCTAAATTCAGAAAATAGTTAAAACCATTAAAACTATCAGTTCTAAATATGAACCAGACAGTAAAAGTTGTCTGGATATGTACTAGTTCTTTTGCTTTTTCTGTCAAAATAGTCACATGTGGGTAGCACAGTGAAATTTATCATTAACATGGCCAGAACAAAGATGCATGAAGACTTTACCAGCGTTTAATAACTCTTGATTTTAACTTTCATGATCTTCTAATGCCTGGATAAAGGATGAACCTACACCTCAAAATCCCTAAAACAAGTAAGCTTAGAAATTAACACATAACCAAAAATGCTACAAAATCAGAGCTCCCTTTCAAGCACGAGTCCTGATGAATGAGAAGGGTCGCAGTGGCGGGGCAGACAGGGAAGCGGTCCGTGTGATCCTGTTTGTGGTGCCAGCTGTGTGAGAGCAAAAGCCAGAGGATGCAGGCTTCCTACCTGCAAGGCGTTTGGTTAAACCCAAACCAATGTGGTGGGACCAAAACTCACAAAAGATATTTCAAATCTTTCAACTAGAAATAGAATAGAGGGAAGGAAGTGCCTGCTTTTAATGAATCTTTCTGAGTTCCATTAGCAGCCAAATCCTTCTTCCAAGGACAGGCATAGATACGAGTAGTGTGCTTATCTCACCTGGAATTCTCTCCCGGATGCCCGTCTCCTGGATGTTAATCAACCTTTTCTTTATAGTCAGGAACAGTCTGAAGAGAGAAATAGTCTTCAAAATAATTTTAAAATATTTTATAAAAATAATTCCCACATGTATTATATGATTCCATTTATTACTCCATTTCCAGAATAGGTGAATCCATGGAGACAGAAAGCAGATTTGCGGTTGCCAGGAGCTGGGGGAGGGAGAGGTGGGGCATAACGGCTTTATGGGTATGAGCTTTCCTTTCGGGGTGGTGAGATAGAGGTGGTGGTAGTATAATGTTTTGACTGTTAAATGCCACTGAATTGTCCGCCTTAAAATGCTTAATTTTATGTTATGTGAATTTCTTCACCTCAATAAAAATAAGTAAATAATTCCCAGAAGAACAGGAAAATGGATAAGGTTACGTAAGAGCTGACCTAACTCTCGTGAGCATATTACAGACAGAGAAATTTTAGTTCTTCTATTATTGCATGTATTAGAAGGAGGGAGTGACAGGCCATACAAGGTATTTCATCAAAGAAACAGAATTCCACTTTTACAAGGTCTCAAAGCTTCAGTGTCTCATGGGGTATTTCTAATGGTTAAATTATTTTAGCATCCAGCTTGTCATAGGTTAGAATTAATTTAAAATTTGAATTTCCAAAAGCCCTCTTTCAAAATATGTTGAATTGGCTTGAGTTGGCTTGAAATGACCACTCCCTTCTTACTAATAAGCGTGGGCAGATTCATTCACCCTTCTGTTCTCCTCTCTGTATTCCTACAGAGAAAGAGAATTGGGATTATCCCACCAGAAAAGCACTGAAGCTACAGTGCTTCTTGTGAAAGTCAGTCCGTCATAACGTCATCTCTGGTAAAAAAAAAAAAAAAAAAAATAGAGCACATGCTTTTTTGCCTGTTTTGTTTCATCATACTCCAGTGCTTGAGCAAAAGAGCATATCTGAAGAGAGAAGAAGAGAAACGGGAAATGGGGAAGGTTTAACACAGAGAGAGATGTATGTAAAAGCTACAGGGCAGGTGTAATTTTTATAGCGCTTAAGAAGCATTTACACTGTTTCTACTGCAACTGTGGGTAATAGGGTACTATAAGTGATGTAGTTGGTCAGAGGAGTTAATAAACTAGTCAAGTGGGATGAGTCCTGCAACAGAATTGTGATATAGGTCAAGCAGGAAATGGCATGTAGGGAAAATGCCAGTTAGTTGAAATGCACCTTGATCTTCAGAGAAATCTGTTTTCCATTGAACCTGCTCTAATCCAATATGGTGTAGAACATAAGAAATTGTTTTTAAATGCTCCATTTATAAAAGGGTGTCATATATTTTATATCAGTTAATGCAGTTATCCTTTCAGTTTTACTTTTTATTTTGTCTTTTATTACCTCTTCATTTGTTTACAGAACAAAGCCACCCTATGAAAGCAATCTCTAATTATGTGTTTTCTTTCAGATATCCAAACCTTGAAACCTTTGCTCTAGATGTCAGGCTTGTTTTTGACAACTGTGAAACATTTAATGAAGATGATTCTGATATAGGCAGAGCTGGCCACAGTATGAGGAAATATTTTGAAAAAAAGTGGACAGATACTTTCAAAGTGAGCTGAAGTTATAATAATCTTTTTTTTTTCCTTTTAAACAAGGACAAATGAGACCAGCAATGTGAACTGTATTTACTTACATAAACGTGCAAGGCACATACATAATGACTTTTTTTTTCTTAAAGTAAGTATCAAAAAAAAAAGTATCAGAAGAATGATACCATTTTTAAAGGCTTCACTCCTACAACAACCAAGGCCTTTGGTTATGGGTTTGTGTGATTTATCAGCTAATTTAGGTAGAACAGGGAAGCACACCCAAAGCATTTTCAAAGGAAAGGGTGTTATAGTGCAATAGCAATTAAAATATATCAAATCGCACTGAATATTCAACACCAGAGCTCTAATGTGGGAAATGGTTCTCCTTTCCCTTCAATAAATATCTATTTTTCATTTTTTTACTTTGTAGTTTATTTTTTAGTGAATGTATTTAATTTTATGAATTATTTATGATTAAACCACATCCAGAATCTTCGTTTTCTGTGAAAAGGAAGAACTAGAAAATTGCTTTAAATCTTGAAAATACAACAAGGAATGTTTTAAAATATAAAACAAAGCCAAGTTAAACTGTTTACACTGATGTGCTATAAAAGCACCAAAAATAAACTTTACTGTAGAGTTACAAGTACATTTATATATATATATATGTTGCTGCATCACTTGTGTAGTTAAATTGTATTTCAAGACAGTGAAAAAAATTGACGTGTATATACTGTTCATTATTGTTTATATTGTCTTGTTTTAAATATGTATTATGTGTATATATTGTTTGCAGACATTATTGTTTATGCCTTAGACGGATTGTAGCATTTTATTTTAGTCCGAAGGTATAGCTATACAGCCTGTACAGTAATTATCCTCTACCAACACTGTGGCGTCTCCTTAATCTTGGTAGTGCCTGCCTTTGAAACAGGGTGTAGGGGATATTAGTTTTCCATTTTTCTATTTTGTTATATAATTTTAAGCCACCAGGGCCTAAATTAAAGTATAATCATTTGTATCCATGTGGAATAAAATTGTGACAATTTCCTACGCACACAGTATTTTTTCATAGAAACATTTCCCTCCCATTTGCCTTGTCTCAGAAATAAATTTAAAAGACATTTGTAACCACTGTGTTTTATCTACTGTGTGTTGTGGTGGCCTGTTGGAGGCAAATAGATCAGAATTTTTTTTGTACCTATGTAAGAGTACTTGAAGTTTTATTTAAAATAAAATGTTGTGGAAAAGGTAGCATTCTTTTTTTAGGAGTGTTATTTTTCACTACTATGTGTGGCACGGATACAATAAAAGACTTTTACAAACTAGTTTTTTAGTTTTTCTTAATGAAGCTGAAAACATATTCTTTTCAAAAAGTCAGTTAGGTTAAATTTGATTTTTACAGAGTCCTAAAGGAGGAACAGTGTATGGAGTGTGGTTCATAGAGATCAGGCTGGGTAGAAGAGGGTGGGTTTAAATCAAGTGACTAAACTTCAGGAATCACTAAGCTTCACAACTCTGTAAACTTCTCTGGACCTTGTTTTATTTCTTATTTTGCGTTGTCAGTATGAAAATATTAGAATACGTTTTTAGGATCTTGTTCCAATATAAGAAAAGTCTCTATTGGTGGACATAATAACCCGGTTGTCAATAAAAAATCTGATCATATAAATTAGTCTAATAAGCTATGACATACAAATTCAAGCAGTGAAGAAATGCAGTTTGATGCGTTGCTGGGCCCTCCACTGGACTCTGGGCAATCACTGGTGAACAAGACAGGCCCTACCTTCAGGGGCTTATAGCATCAGGTAGTGGGCCTTAGATAATGTCCACTGCTTTTAACAGTGAGAGAGAGAATAGAAGAGTTTTGAAGAAAACATTCCTAACTTTAAAATGTTTCAAAGCCACAGAGTATTTTCCGAATCCCTAGATTGTTTGTGAAGACTTATGTGAAAATCAGCTGTTATTATGTAACTATGTCAGTTTCTGTTAACCAAATATTGGGGTGATGCCTTAGGGGGCTGGTGCTTAATCAAAAATACCACGTGGAGAGAGAACAAGGTGGCACTGTGGATACAGTGTCTGGTTTTGTGTATATAGAACTGCCTGGTGCTCCATGGGGATTCTTTTTCATAAGGGTTTTTTGCCTTAGGGGTTATATATGCTTGTGTTAATTTATCTTAGATGGTATATAAGGGGCTTAATAATGACATACCTGGTGTGTGAGGAGCTCATAAATGAGAAAATACTTAAACACACACAAAAACAGTTTTTCAAGAGTGAGAATTTTCTTTTAGAAACAAATAAGATCTCCCTGGAAAAAGGAAAGCTTGGTAAATATTGGCTGCTTTGGACTGGTGTCTTCGTTGTTGTTCCTCAGCGAAGATAGCTGTTCAAGAATTAGTGGGCATGATCCCAAAAGGGCTGCAATTGGAGCTGGTGATAGTGGTTTGTTACTGTACCCATGTAGATCACTTGTTATGTAAACCACTCATGCACTCACAGTGCCTTATTCTCAATAAACCAATATCATTGTTCTCCTCAAATATATATATATATATATATATATACATATAAATTACCCTAACCCTCTGCTATCATGTAATTGCAAATATACACAACATACTTTCATTAAGGTAAATTAGACTTTACCAGGAACCTTCTTCATTTTAGTCTTAAATGCTCTATAAATTGAAAAAAAAAAAAACTGGCCTACTTTCAAATTTATGTAGATTATCCCTCAATTGGTGATCAACCAAGGATAACCAATCCAACAATTCACTACTGTTAAACACAGAAAATAATCATCAGTTTGAAACAATATGTAGACAGTAAATCAATATTTCTTGAATTGTTAACCACAGTGAAAACTAAACAGGTGAAAATTTATAGGTACACCATGAACTCAGAGGAAGTAAATTACCGTAATGCAAGGTGATCTTTTTCTTGTTCCAACCCCAAAATAAAATTGTTATAAGTAATAATTTTAATCAAAATTATGAAGAATCTAATCTGTCTTTGGTACCTTAATGCACCCCTCCATGCTCCTTCTCTTTCCTGTCCGCCCTGCCCCCATATTCTTTAAGGAAATTCAAAATCTTGTTCCTTTGGCCTCTCCCATTAAACACATCCTCAACAAGGAAATCTGGTATCAATTATTTACTCCTTATTGTAAATTTAATTTATGAGTTACCTCTTCCAAGGTTATTTTCATTTTAAATATCTCCATTTGAGAAATAAAAGAGGTTTGTGTTCTATTAAAAGGATTTCATTCCAACAGGGAGATAAGCAAGGTATTTTAAGAGAACTGAAATTTCCCTTCCACAGGTATATGACTCATAAAAAATACTATATAGGGGGCAGGTGCAGTGGCTCATGCCTGTAATCCTAGCATTCTGGGAGGCTGAGGCGGGAGGATCCCTTGAGGTCAGGAGTTCAAGAATAGCCTGAACAAGAGGAAGACCCTGTCTACTAAAAATAGAAAAAATAAGCGGAGCATGGTAGTGCACACCTGTAGTCCCAGCTACTTGGGGGGCTGAGGCAGGACGATGGCTTCAGCCAGGAGTTGGAGGTTGCTGTGAGCTATGATAACACACTGCACTACTGCACTCTTCCCCAGGGCAACAGAGTGAGACTCTGTCTCCAAAAAAAAAAAATTACAACACAGGGAAATGAGTAGAACCTTATCTGCTAGGAATCTTGCTTCGGTAAGATCTCTTAGACTTGCTTAGGCCACATTACAACTCTACCAGGAAAATAAAAATTTTTTTAAACCTCAACTAATTTCAGTAACTAATTCTTCTCAATTCATGGCACAATCTTCATTTTGTTCTTGCAAAGTCCTTCTTTGTTTCTTTTTTTTTTTTTTTTCCATTTCTTGCTTCAGCTCCTCTCCACTTCCCTTTCCCCCATGTATAATCACTTTTAATATGTCTTTCTAGTTGGCCTTTTATGTATTTATTTAGCAATATATATATCTTCATATAATGTGAAAAACTATATATACACAGTGGTTTTTAAACCTATATCAGTTAAATTGTGCTGTAAATCTTATTCTGTTTTTTATTTTTCTTCTGAGTTGAAAAATCTAGTTCGTTGCTTTTAATTGCTGCAAGGTAGTCCATCAGAGGCACATACCACGTTTTGCTTACAAATTTCTCTGCGAATGAAAACCTGTTTCCTGCAACTCCTTGTCACTGCAGATAATAGTGCAGTGAATGTTGTAATCCATAGACCTGTGCATGAAAGCTGGTTTCCAAGATGGCCCCCCAAACAATCCTTGCCTTCTGGTATTCGTGCCCTTGTACAATTCCTTACCACATTGTATCAGATTTACCAACACAATATGGCAGAATGATGGCATGTGAATTCCCAGACTAAACCATAAAATACATTACTGCTTCTACCTTGTTCTCTTGGATCACCTGCTCTGGGTAAAGCCTGCCACTATGTTGTGAGGACACTCGGCTACGGAGCAGCCAGTAGCTATCACCAACTTGCCAGCCATGTGACTGAGGCATCTTAGAAGTGGATCCTTCAGCCCAAGTTAAACTTTCAGACGACTGGAGCCCCAGCCAACATCTTGCCTGCAACTTCATGAGAGAACCTGAGCCAGCACTACCCAGCTAAGCCACACCTGAATTCTTGACCCACAGAAACTATGAAATAATAAATGTTTATTGTTTTAAACCACTCAAGTTTTTGAGTAATTTCTTACGTAGCAGTATCTATAAAAGACAAATCTATAAAACAAAGACAAAATCTATAAAAAGGCAAATCGAAGTTGAAGCTGCTCATATAATTGGAAAAATTGCTTAATACTTTTCAAAAATCTGTAATAAACTTAGTGAAAAATAGTCCAAATATTGAACGTTGGTTGGAAGGTAAAGAAAAAGAATCCTCTTCCACTACTGGAAGGAGTGTGAACTGGTATAGTCATCTGAAAATTGGTATGCCAATATCATAGAAAGTTAACTATACACGTACCTAATAACTTGGGGATTTTCCCCTATGTATGGATCCTAGAGAAA